AGAAAGGCTATGATAACCTAAACTTCTCTTCTTCCTGGTGAATATTTTAGATAGTTTATATACAAAGACATATTGAAAAGCTGACTTTGACTGCTTTCCATAAACTGCAAAATGAGAGAGGATCCCAGCACAAATATACACCCACTTAAAGTATTTTTCCTGAATGTGCTTGTTGCTTCAAACCTCCATGTGGTTAGAAAAACAAACTTCAGCACTAAGACTTCTCAAATCTGCATTATAAAATAAAATGGAACATACACTCCCGATGGTAAAATATTATTTGCTAACGTGTTCCAAAAACCATGCTAGGCAAAAGGCAGTAAAAGTATCTTAAAAAAAAAAAAAAAAAAAGTTGGATATAAAACCTAGCACCTAGCAGATGTGTTTTTCTGTTTTAGTGAAAAAAGCACCTACTTATTGGAATGAATGGGAGACTCAAAAGAGGATCTGGTGGATACAATATTTTCTCTCTTTTGGGAAAGATGAGGTGGAGAAGAAGTTATTAAATGTTTACTTATGCATTTGTAAGTTTGAAAGCATTCCTTTGTTCACTGCTTATAAATGTGATCAGTAGAATCTCTGAAACTTGCACATTTTGTAAGCACTGATCAGTGTGGAGAGCTGCCTCCAGTAAATAGTGCCTTTATGATGCAAGAGGGAAGGGGGAGAAAAAGAGGGAGAGACCAGGTATAGCTCATGATTTTACAGCTATAAAACCATGTTTCTGGTTATTTGCTAATGGCTTGGGAGGGGCGAGTGGTGTGTATGGAGAGGATCAATTATTTTGTACTTGGGGGTTAAACTTTTTCCAGTAATCAAATGGGGGAGTTGTCTTCTGAGAGAACCTGTATGTTGATTATATAACACCGGGCTTATAATAAATATAATCAAAAGCACTTCAGTGCTTAAGTCCTTGTTTTGCATTTCCCATTCACAGTCGAGAGCTCGATTTGCTTTCACGATTTAGTTGCATGCACCTGAACTGCTTTAAACTTCCCATATTAAAAGCATTTTAAGAAGCTTTTTTCCTTAAGCTGTGTACGTTCTTATTTCAATTAAATCGAGGGTCTTGTAAATCAAGAGTAGTCTTGCATCAGTCGGAGCAGACTTCTAACCCAGCTCTGTACGCCGTGTTCTCACTGTACTTCTCATGACGCGAGTTCAGACCACAGCCTGTTCCTTTTTCTTGTAGCCACGTTTCTGTTGCAGGGTATCCCGTGCAAGTAAATATTTTGTTTATGCTCATGTTAGGCTCTTAAAAGCTATTTTCGGGGACTTCTTTGTTTGTCAAATACCGTTACATTGCCAAAAATGTGATTGATGTGCGCTTGAACGGGAATCACTTGCATTGCGAATGACTTAAAACTTTAAACTGTTAACAGCTTAAAGGGACATTTATAACAGGCACATTTATTTTTCTGGTGAGGGTGTACCAGAAAAATGAATCTTCCAGTGAGATTACTGGATGAAGAGGAAAAGATTAGTTATCCTTTTTCATTCTGACACTGATAATTTTAACCTACGATTCGTTCCCTTGAGACACCTGAAGGATGGTGAATTCTCACAAATGAATAGGAACAAGAATGAAATGCTTCATTCCAAGTGTCGTCTTTAGGTGTAGTATAACTTTCTCATTGACATTTTCTCCTTAAACGTGAGAGGAAACAGTAGTAGTTTAAGGTTATGCTTTTAAAAGGATTAAGTATTATCTTCAATGTATATTTTTCTTCCTGCTGGGAGTTACTAAGATGTGTCGAGATGTGAAAGTTGACTCTGATGCATAAAACGACGTTGTTAAAAACCTACTAACAAAGACGAGCATGTCGCTTTACCACGTCAAAACTGCTTCACCTGTCATTTTGACCCCAGCATGTGGAAACGAGTGCGGCAGTCTTGAGGGGAATAGCTCTTCCTCCAGAAGGAAGTGATCGGCGCTCCCCGAACCAGTTGCCTTTTTTTTTTTTTCTTCTTCTTCTTTTTTTTTTTTTTTTCCCTCCCCTCTTTTTAGTACGAGGAAGAAAATCGCTTCAAGCGATTGACAAGAATGGAAGCCGCGCGGCGCGGCTGGAAGCTGCGCGGGGGTGCGCGGCCCCGGGGTGCGCGGGGGGTGCGCGGGGGCTGCGCGGCCCCGCGGAGCGCTCGCTTCGGGCGCCGCAGCCGCCCCGGCACCGCTCCCCGCTGCTGAGCCGGAGGCGCTTTCGGTCCCGGCGCCGCGAAGCCCTTTCCCCCAAGCCTCGGGCGTGCTCGTATTTATGTCGCTAAATTGTATTTAGAACCGCGTGCGAGCAGGACGCGGAAGATACGCTGCTGGAGGCTTGCTTCCCTTTACCGCGGGGTCCTCGTAAGGTCTTGCGGGGATTTTTCCCAAGCCAGCGCGCTCATCCCTCCCGGAGTTACACGGCGCCGTTTACCTGCCGCTGAAACCGACTCCCTTAGCCGAACCGCAGAAACCTCTAAAGTCCAAGTCCAAATTAAGCGGCGGTTGCACTAGAATAACCGCTGCTTTTACTCAGTGAATTTACATCAGAAGAGTCTGAGAGATGGGCTTCCCCCAAACGGTATTTAAACCAAGTGCTTGGAATGGGGGAATCTGGATCAGGAGTTTATAATCTCAGAAGTATTTCAGAACTCCTGTCTTTTAAAGATACGCTGCAAAGGAGAGAAACTTAGGTGGGAGGGCGAGAGAATTCTCTCCCCGAAAGCGCTTCCTCTGCCAGGAGCCGGTGAGAGGAGCCGGCGCGGGGCTGTGCCGCCCGCAGCGCTTCCGAGCTCGCCCCCCGCGTGGGGAGGGCACCCCACGGCCAGCAGCCCCCGCTGGGGCGGGAGGGGAAAGCTCTGTTCATTTGTCCCCGAAGTGCAAAATTCTGGTGGCAGCTGTTTGGGGCGAAGAGAGTGCATCTCCTCTGACCCGCGCCGCTGCCCTCTGACCCGCTCTGAAGCCCGAAAAGCCGCGCTCCCCGGGGGCCGCGGCACACGCGGCCCATTGTTCCCAAAGCTGGCACGGTCCCGCCGGGCGCGCCCGGGCTTCGCGCAAGCGACCGGGCTGGAACTGAATTAGCATCTGGGTTGGATCCGAGCAGACTCCCTTTCAAGCGTTACAGGGACAGACTCGGCTTCATCACTAGGAGCGGGGGACTTCAGTTGGTAGGAAACGTTTTCTCCCTCTGAATACCTCGGCCAAGGTTAGATCGAGTGGGAATTCCACCCCCTCCTCTTCCGTCCCTGCTCCAGGTTTAAGAATAAATGCAGAAACAGTCAGAGTGGCATTGCCAAAAATGATCTTCGTACAAAGAGGGGGCTTTTATTCGAGGAAATGTACCCACGCCTATTATGAAATGGTCAAAAAAAAAAAAAAACAAACCAAAAACAACCAACAAACAAAAAAAATCACTCAAACCAAACCCCACCATAATATGCCTTACCATCGCCTGTACATTTACATTGTATGTTCTTGTTTTCTCACTTTTTTTTTTTTTTTTAAGTATCTTACTCTGTTTATTTGGATTCGGTTATTTTATACTGAGAAATTGCATCTCAAAGATGCTAAGATCATATCTTGAAAGGTTGGCCTCCACTCTATAACGCCATCAAACTGCTGTTGCTTTTCTTCAACGTTAAAATAACGCCAGCCTTGCCTTTTGCTAACCTGGCAAAATCACTTACTGCATATTTATCAATTTGGGGAGGTGGGTTAGCATGGTAAATCTCCTTGAACAAAGATTGTGTGAGATGTATTAGTTCATCCAATACCATGTCTGTCACTTATGTAGACAGAATAATTCAGAGTCCCGGCTTTGCCCTCAATCGTGCTTGAATTAAGGATAAATTTTTATGGAAGTTGTATGGGAAGATTTTCAATCACGAATTTTTTTGAGAGAGAACTACTTGAAATTCCATTAAAATAATATAGCATTTAATAGAAAGGTGGCTTTTTGAAATGCATCAGAACATGGATGGAAGGAGTTGGGATTTATTCTGAAATGGAAATTATAGTTCTGTTCCGTCAAAAAAAAAAAAAAAAAAAAAAAAAGGCAGGTTAAAGAGAGGAGCTGCACATAATGAGTCAAGGAAATCCTTGCGCTGTCCCTTTAACTACCGAACATCTGATTCCCTCATCTGGCAGATGGTCTCTGAGCACAGATTTGCATTCATTGTCTTGAAATCTGTTTTCGCGTTGGTGTTATATAGATTTCAGAGGCAGATCTATACACAGATCAGAATACAAAAGGGCCAGGAGGAAAATATCACTAAGGCAGAGTGTTTTTAAAAAAAAATAAGATACATGCAGACGCAGATATCGTCCCGGTTCACAGCGGGCTGGGCTGAGGAGAGCTTCAACTTGCTTTAATGCGAATTTTTGCCTACGTTAAATGTTACAAAAAGTTTTCGGGCTAGACCTGCCAGCTCGCGTATAGCGAGAACTTCGGGCTGCTCTGGGTGCGTTGCCGTCCCTCACTCGCCCTTGCTGGTGCAGGCACTCTCCGCATGCAGAGCCCCCTCCGGGCATTAGCACCGCGACCCGGTTGATTCCCTCGGAGCACTTCTGTCACTTTTATTTATTTATACACCGCGCCTGCGAGCAAACCTGCCGCCTACCCGTGCCACTGCTGTGTTATTACAGTACGGGACAGCTTCCCCGGGGCCGCCGCTTGCCGCGGGGCGGGCGGCTCTGACATTGAATTTGAAGTTACCCGGCCCGGGGTAGCGCGGGGCCGGCCCCGCCCCGCCCCGCCGGCCCCGCCCCGCGGCAGCACCCCCGGCCCCGCCCCGCCGCCCGCCGGCCCGCCAATCGGCGGAGGCGATGCAAATGAAACCCCCTTATTTGGGCGAGGCCCCGCCCCCCGCCCGGTATGGCTGCTCCCACCGCTGTAACCCATTCATGGTGCCCGGCCGGGGAGCGACCGGCTCTGCCCAGGCGTCCTGTGGAACCACACTCTCTTTAGCTCCATTTCTGCCTTTCTTTTACAATATATCCCGCTGCTTTTTTTTTTTTTTTTTTTTTTTTTTTTTTTTTCCCTCCCCCTCCTCTGGATTAGGCAGCAATCAATCCTTCTCCCTGCGTCTGTTGAGAAGCAGGTGATCCTTGTTAACAGCGCTCAGTTTCTGGATGCAGTTTTCTCTCCTGCGTGTGAAGGATGATGATACCAGGCAAGACTGAATCAGCATAACTTTTACTTTGCAAGAGGAAAAACTTTTTTCCCTATTTGAAGGCATTAAAAACACGTAGCATTTAAAAGCAGAAGAAGTTGGTTTTAAAGCTGAACTCCACTTTCCTGGGATTTGTGTGTGGCAATTTCAAAGGCTGCGTCTTTTCCTTTTTTTTTTTTTTTTTTTTTTTTTTTTCTCCTCCCTTATCTCCCGAAAGGAAACTGTTGCTAGTTGGAATAGACTTCTTAAATGTTTGGGATTCAAGATACTTTAGGAAGAGGACCAATTCTGAAAGATAAATCTCTAGGTTCTGAAATGGATTCCGTCAGGTCTTGGGTCAGAAACGTTGGGGTTGTGGATGCAAACGTAGCAGCACAAAGGTAACCGTAACTATTTCTCCCCCACTTTCCGCCCGCTTTTTTTTTTTTTTTTTTTTTTTTTTTTTAAAGTAAGCCTTTTATTTACTCCCCGTTGTTTGCACTTGATATTAAACTTATTTTCTCCCTTTCTGTCCCGCTCCCTGTCTCCTCTAGTCAGTGAAAATACAAGGTAGTACAGCCAGAGCGAGGGAGAAGTGCTCCGAAAACAGAGAGCATCAGGAGCCCTAAAATCCAGTGCGGGCATCAGCTGACAGATCGGATCATTGTTTCTTTTCCTGCACAAGGCGGGTGCATTGGTTATACCGAGCGATACAGACTACTCCTTCCCGCTTTCTGGGTCAGACAGCCGAATAGGAGTGGACCAAGTTAGCATTAACTTAAATGTGGATTTCTTCCCCCGCCTCCCCCTCCCACCCCCTCCTCCCGGCCCATCTTGTTTTACTTAATTCAAGTGGCTACCGTAGGCACTGCCGAAATCTTAACCCGTGGCTTCACGGCTGCTAGCTGACTCCAACCGGCAAGCAGCGAGCAGAGCGGGGGCTGGGGGGAGCGGAGCCCGCGGGCTGCCGGCTCAGCCCGCCTCCAGCCCCCCGCTTGCGGGGAGCACCTGCCTGCGCGTCCCAAAGATCTCTGCTGCTCCGAAACGCGAGTGAGCACACCGTAAGCACACCGAACTGGGGGCTCGTCTGCTTGACTTTTTACTTGGTTGGTCGGTGTAGCTTCCCCCTCCCGCCTTTATTTTCTCTTCTCGGCCAAGTCGGCACAAGACCGTTATTCCAGACTCTTCCCGTTAGGGGTAAAACGATTAAAACCCTTTTAGGTAAAAATATTTGTTTTTCCTCGCTCTCTGGATACCTTTTTTTTTTTAAATAATAATAATTAAAAAATAGTAGCGTCGGGGAAGGGGAAAGGTAAATTGGTCCCGGGAATAAGTTAGGTTTTATTTAGTATAGAGGCAAGGTGAAGGGTATATAACAGCAGATGGGACTTCACATGGAACAGGGACTTTATAGAAATAGTACATCCATGCTTTCCACACACACACACCCCGGCCTGATCCATGAGCAAGGTTTTCCAAACGCTATGGCAGGAGTTATCAGAGTTTTATGAATGTTGATAGACGGTTTAATAAATACGAGGAGAGGGGGGGGCAGAGGTTTATTCCTGGAGAAACCGAAAGTAAAAGGAAACGGCTCCGAAGAAGCCTCTAATTCGCGGGAGCGATGGAGATGCAGCTGCATTGTGCCGGGGTGGGGGGGGTGGCATAGCCAGGTTTTCTTCAGAGATCAGTAACAAACCAAGAAATCCCGAGTTCTTACATGAAAAACGAGAGGAAGCCCCAAACTAGGTGCAGTAGTGGCGGATGTGGTGAGTTCACACTGTACCTGTTTGGCAATGGAAAACACAGGGAAACATCTGTAGTTCTCCGAAAGAGTCAAATAGTTTTGCTAATACGGTGGAGCTATTTTGGGGACTGAAAACAGAAGGTGTTCGCACTCCTAACTTGTCTGGCAGATAGACTTAAGCTTAAGTTTATTAATAAATACAGAGGGGCTCATGTGCACCTTTTTTCTCTGCAGTAGATAGAAATCAGCATTAGGGAGAGGGAGCTACAACTAGTTTCACTAAAATGTAGCTGCAGTTAGGGATATTGTGGATACACAAAAGCATCTGAATCTTTCCAAGCTGGGAAATGTCACTACGTTTTCTGTGGTTAGGGACAAGATTTGGGCAAGGGCTAATTAACTTGAGTCTAAATTCTTCCGATTTAAATTGGAAACTGAAGACCCAGGCATCGGTTCAAATAGGTCAGTGACTAAAGACTACATTGACAAACTTGGCTGCTGAGGAAGGCAGATGCTCTGTTTGAAACTACTGGTCTTTTACCTAAAATGTAGGTGCCCTCGAGTTGACAGTCTGCTTGTAGGAAATATTTGAAGGTCGCTTGTCTTCTCCTACAGGCAAGGTGAATGATACTGGGATGTACAGATAGCACTTCCAGGCTCTCTGATATGTTACATCCACTTCCCACCCTGCACTTTGCATTCCAGAAATGAGTGTGACAGGCAAGAAGCAAATAGGTAGAGAAGTCAGTAAAACACTTCACCGCGTTTAGCAATAACCGATCTCTTGACATTGGGGGTCTGTAAATGATTCTTGTCCTCGGAGCGTGAGGGCACAGACACGGGGGCCGAGCCGAGCGTTGGTGACAGCCCCAGGTTGGGCACAGCCCCTGCCCCGGCCCGCTGCCGTGCTGGGCTGCCGCCGCTCGCACGCCCCGGCCGGGCCGCAGGGAAGTGGGAATAAATAATCCCTGCTCCCAACCTCGGCTGGCACTCGCACAAGCTGGACTGTTCCCGGCTTCCCTCCGAGCGTGTTCTGCCTTTTCTGTTGATGTTTTGCTGTTACTACTGCACAACCTGGTAATGTCTTTGTCTCTCCCCCCCCACACCCCATCCCGTATGTTTCCTCCACAGCGGAGTAGCTTTGTCCAGAGCTCACTTTGAAAAGCAGCCACCCTCCAACTTGAGGAAATCCAATTTCTTTCACTTTGTTCTGGCTCTCTACGACAGACAGGGGCAGCCCGTGGAAATAGAGAGGACAGCTTTTGTGGACTTTGTAGAAAATGATAAAGTAAGGCTTGTTATCTTTCTTCTTCTCCTCTCCAAATTTGATCTTTTCTTCTCCCCTGTTGAGCTGCTAACTTTTAATACCTGTTGCCCCTAACAAAATACAATCAGGTCTTGGTCAAGGGTTCAGGTGCTTTGGTAGAGCTGTTGCCTTCCGTGTGCTGCTGTAGTTAAAAAGGTTTGCAAGCCTCTGCTGTATCAGGAATACAGTGGGAATTTCATACATTCACTAAAAATAGAACAAAAACATTTTATGGGGGACAAATGCAGTGCTTTTTTTTGCCTTTTTTTTTTTTTTTTTTTGCTACCTACCAGATCTGCCAAGTTTTATTAGTACCCTAACAGAAGTGGAATCTGACCAGTAATATGTCATATTATGTGTTGAGCTTGATTATATGTATTTCTTAAGACTCCAAACTCAATGGCAGAACTTGAAAAGCATTTGCTTTTGGAATTTAATCCACATGTTGACCACATTGTTTTTACCATAATTTTCTTAATAAATAACTATCTGCTAGGAAATTATATGAAAAAACCCATTCAAGAATCATCCCTGTAACATAACCTTCAGGAAATAAATAATGATAATGACTCAGTATAACACTACTGCAAAGTAATGAACACGTTCAGTCTGCTTTATATTAACTAATTTGAAATGTACAAATTTGCCTCAGTGTAATGCCTCGAAAAAGTTGAGAGCATAATAGCAAATCAGGGAGGAAAAGAAGTTCTTGAACTCCTACAGGAAAAGATGTCAGCAGTATTTTGTAGTTTGTCCTGGGTCATTCGGAAGGTTAATATATCCCAATCAGTGGATTCACCTCTCAGAATTTTAATGAACTTTGTTGTCACTTCCATCATGATTATCAGCTTTTGCATTTTAAATGTGCCAAGTGTAAGTTCTGGAAGAATTTTTTTTTTTTTTTTAAATTCTCTCTTACAGGAGCAAGGCAATGAAAAGACGAACAATGGCACACATTACAAACTCCAACTCCTTTATAGCAACGGTGAGTCCCTTTTCCAGTCACCTTCTGTAAGTTGTACAGTGAGGCAAGGTTTGTAGGTGCTGTCACTATTTCCTAAAATACACAGAAACTCCCTTGCATGATGCTCCTTCAGTGTAGGGATGGGCTTTGAAGTTTTACCTGGTGTGGATGGGCTTGAGAAACACACTAGAGGAAGCAGAACTAAATGGCCTTTCTGAGGATGTTTAATAAGGCACTAGATGAAACTAAATGGTTTTGTTCTGATGTTTAGGGAAAGATGCATATAACAGCACTATTTATTACTCTCCTCTCTCGCTCTAGGTGTCAGGACTGAACAGGATCTGTATGTTAGACTCATCGATTCAGTCACTAAGCAGGTGAGCACAGCTAATATGTGCCGTGCTAGCCTGTCCTGCCTCAGCCTTCCTTTTTTCTTAACATTCCTCTGCATGTTTTTCTTCTCTGGATCATTTTTGTCTTTTGTTCATCTGTATTGCAGAGCTTATTTTTGAGGGCAATTGAAAAGTAATGCTCTTGAGTATCTTTTTTTTTGGATGGTTTTTATCCACTTTTTATCAATATTTATGTATAAGTTGCTTGCCCTGCTCATAAAGGCTGTGGGGGAAGGTATTGATTTGAAAGCAGTGGTGAAAAGCCTTCACCTCAGATCTAAATATTATGACAAATAAGTAACCCCCTGATGCTACTGGTGACACCTTTTCTTATTTTTTGTAGCCCATAACTTACGAAGGACAGAATAAGAATCCCGAAATGTGCAGAGTTTTGCTTACCCATGAAGTCATGTGCAGGTAAGACGACTTTATTAATGGCGCATTATTTGTTAAGTTTGTTTCCATAGATGCCAAAATGGCCTTTCAGATTAAGCTGTAGGTAGGAAGAGTTTCATTTTGTTTGTTTGTTTTGTTGTCAAGTCAGAGATTCCTTGTGTAAGAAGACTTTCTTTTTATATGTGGATAATACTTGATTTGGGTTCAATACAGACACTTGGGTTTGGTGGTTTTGTGTTGTGGTTTGGTTTGGTTTGGTTTGGTTTTTTTAACTGCAAAACATTTAGCAATCCAGGTCCACAGCCTGAGCTGTGCTATTTTTGTTTAAACTAGGCCTTTGTATGTGTTGTTTAAATCGAGATTTTTCATATGCTTATTTCTTACAAAATTCATGCTCACTTTTTGAGAATGAGCAGTTTAACTTAGATTTATACCTGGAAATGAAAAGATGTTCTTCATGTAATTTTCTGCGGTGAAATATTTTAAATTTCTTAATTAAATTATCATCACTAACATTTTAAAATTTTGCTTAGTTCTATCCCAACCAAAAAAGAAACACCTCAAACCAAAACACAAATCCTTTTCTATATACTGTAAACAATATTTAGGGGACTTCCACCTTTTAATTAAGAAATACACTATTTTTATCATGTAAAGTTATAAATTAGAGGGTAAAATGAGTTGAGGATGTTTCTAATAACATTTGCGTAAGTCTGAAGTTACATGTACCTTATGTATGTACATCGTGCTTCCATGGTAACTTATTACTTTTCCTGTTCTTGTGTAATTAAATTTTTTTCAATACATATAACAATGCAAACAGTCAATGTTCTTATATTAAAATGTGCTAAATTGTGCATAGAATGTTCTTTCATAAAATGAAAGGCAAAACCGATCTTGACCTTTATTAAACACAGTTTGTGATTTATTGTTTAGTGGGAGGGGGTTAAGGACTGAATGTTGCTTCTTTTAATGTTGCGGCTTCTACTTAAAAAAAAAAATCAAGTAGTCTTTTAATATAGTAGTAAGAGCAGCTTATTTGGATAGACTTCTTGTCACGGGAAAGTCTTAGTTTCAGTACTTTAACAATTATATCAACAATTCCATTGCTTTTTAAATATAATAAGAATCAAGTAAATGTATAGTGTTTATCTGTGCTTTGCTCTCATTAATTAAGAAAATCAGCATTGTTACTTTTCACCAACATTCACATATGTATGCACAAACACAGCATATATTATGTATGAGAGATGCATACGGTGTGCTTTACAAGGACCTGTAGATGTAGTAGCAAAAATCTAAGGTATATATGTTACTTGCTGGCACATCTAGAACTTCTGTATGTATTTAAATATATATGCTGTCCGTATTGCTGAAAGTCTTCACTGTAACTGAGTGAACATTAGAGAAGAAAAAATCTTTGAATTGCTGCTCTGCAGTTGGGTCCTGGATTGTGATAACAAAATAACAGTTAGCTTACTTCATCTTTCTCCACTCTTCCTGTATAAAGTGCAGTTCTATTTTAGAGGTTAAAATATTTCGCCAAACACCGGTACCTTCCCATGCAAATGTACTTTAAAATAAAATTAATTTGGCTTTTTACCCCATGTCCTCTCCATGCCTTTAGAGTATCAAACGCTCCGTTCATCTTTTATGTTCCTGGTCTCCACTGATGCCTATGAACATATTCCGTGCTTGATTTAAGGCAGTGTTCTACAAATGTAAACCATTATTCCGATTATACTGAACTCTCCTGCTTGGTAGATTAACTGGGGAAGAATTACAACTCGGGGACATCCTTTCCATGTAAAAAGCAGATTAGTGAACGACATCAAAAGTGCTCTGTAACCTAATTAAGACATTTGATTTTAAATGTCGTGTTTTCCTAAAGTATCTCTGCACAGGATGCTGAGTATTCTGGAGAGGCATTACACCTATCACTTTGAATAATGCCAAGGGAATGGATCCAACTCTAGTTAAACTTGACATTTTATTTTATTTCTTTTAAGTACAATAATCAAATCTTCCTCATTGTGTGCTGCTTAAGTGGCAGCATCAATTTTTAAAGCCCCTAGTTTAGTTTGCATTAGTAACAGTATATAAAAATTTAATGCACTGTACCCACTCTGCTGTTCAAATTGATGCCTACTGCTTTTAAAAAGAAGGGTCTGCCTGTCTTTCTGCTCCTCTCCTTCCACTCCTCGCTAGTTGAAGGTAGGCTCTCTTTTTTGGTGTGTTTTTGTCTGTAATCACACACGCAGATATTCTTGCTGTATAGAGACAAGTGCATCCGAAACTCCGCATCTTCCACTCAGACAGTGACAGATGCATGCTTAGCAGGAAAGTTGTCTAAATATTGATACGGCTACAACAATCTGTCATACCAATTGAAAGTTAAACTCTCAACTCTCAATAATTAGTGCTTTCATTGAGAGGCTCTATTTATTTGTTTGCAGATCTGAAATTTTTCATATGGGTTATTACGGCCTAATGGGAACTGTTCCTGTTAGGTGGGTTTATCTTAAATACACAGTCTTTCCCCCCCAGTGGTTGGAAATCAAGGTAAACAGTCTCCTCTCCTGGAATAACTTTTTTCTCCTCTTCTTTTTCTTCCAATTATCGACTAAGAGGAAACTAGTTGTTATGCTGCTGCCAGCAACCCCCTATGCCCTCAATGCTCAGAGGGTTAAAAGGTATTATAATTTGAACAGAAGTAGTCTCAGGGCCTACAGCTGGCTAATAACAGAGTTGTATTGAGTGCAAGCAAGCCCCACAGCTGTGACTTTCGCCACAAGGCTCAGACTAGACGGGAGCTCTAATCAGCTGGGCCAGGCGGCCACTGGGGCCTGTGTCTTTATCGGCCAGATGGTGTGAATTTAGACACTTTTGTTATGCAATTGCAGGGAGGAGTTGGGGAGAAGAAAACAAAACAAAGGCCACCATGCTGTGAGCTTATTTGAGTTTGAAATTAGAGACAGATTTTTTTTTTTTTTTTTTTTTTGGGGGGGGGTTGGATGGTGGGGAGGGGAGGGAAGGGAAGTTGAGGACTGAATTTTAAAACCATTTTAGTCAAGTGTGAGGAGGGAAAGGATGCAAGTTTGCCTTTGACATGAGCCTTCTTGAGTATTCAGTTTGTAGATCTGGTGTTGTCTCTGGTAGCTTCTTAGTTTCTATGTTGGTTTTAATTTTTTTTTTTTTTTCAGGACTGTTTGTATAGTAAACCATTCTTTTTTCCATGTAGATCTAGTTAAAGGGGAAAGTATAATAAGAAAAGGTGTAGAAAAAAGAAGTGCTAGGCCTTGATATTTTTGTTTTAAGCAAATGAGCATCCCTAAAGGTATGTTCGTAGCACAACACTGTAGCAGAAGTGTAAATATTGGGGAAGTTATGCCAGTAATTTGCTTTAATAGAATAATGTAGGCTTGATCTTGGACCGCCAGAGTTTGGGATTTTTGCCATTGATTTAAATTGGAACAAGCCAATTCTGTTACAGACAGTATTTGTAAAACAAACCCTCTAGAAATATTAGTGCTTGGATACTGTGATGAAGTACTTGGAAACAGGGATTTAAAGATTTGAGAGGTACTTTTGCCTAAACGCTGGGCTGAAACATCCTCACTCTTTAAAAGCACTCTGATTTACGTGTAAACTAGTCATTCACTGGAAGTGAGTGGCTGTTTTCCCTAATCAAGACATTTTTTCATATATTTGGGTTTAAAAAGTATTACAGTCAAAGGGAAAACAATCTAGCACTCTAACAAAAATCTGTTACCCATGTGTGATAAGAATGTAGATATTTGTAAAATATTTGGAGAACTTTAGCTGTAAGGCCCAGTTTTAGAAGGAAAATTTTTAAGTATTACAAATGTAAAGTTCCTAACTGCAATAATTGTGCAGACTAAAATAAAACAAGATGTGCTTATTTCGGAACCCAGCCACTTTGTATTCCAATCTGGCATAATTCATCCTAAAACACTTAGCATGCCAAGAAGTGGCAACCTCTCTAGGAAGAGTATATGAGCTGATGAGATGTGGTGGAGGTACTGCTGGTGTGTTCCGTTTGAACGGTACTGTGGTGTAGTGCAATCAGAAATATTTTTTTATGACCAGCTGTGTAAGTGAACGTGACTGAAGGATATCTCATTTAGTATTATTGCAAAGAGAGGAAATAACTGCTGTAAAAAAAAACAACCCAAACCAACAAATACAAAACACTAAAAAATATTTTAAAAATTGAGTTCCTTTTGTTATTTTATTATAGCAGCATGTAAACCAGCAAGGCATTTATTCCCAATGTTATTTACAATGCATTGTTATTTCGGGCATGTCAGAAGTACATGCCAAATTTATATTCTTCTAAGTGAGGGTCTTCTGTTTTGTTTTGTTTTTTTTTTTTTTTTTCTTTAGAAAATATCTCACATCTTGGCTTTTAGCACAAAAATATGCAATTCTTTATAAACAATCATTAAGCAGTGAAATGCATAAAAGATGCACTTAATAAAAAAGTTGGGAGAAGGAGGGAGTGGGTTATTCTTAGCTGGTGTGAATTACCATAGCTTCACTGAAGTCGATGGAGCTATGACAATTTACAGCAGCTAGAGGGTCTGCCCCAGGGATTTTTAAATATTTAGTGTATCCTTTTATTTTAAAAGGACTAACATCAATGAATAAGTGCAGGTTTGAGGCAAAGGGAATGTAGAAATGTTGAAACAGTTAGAGCTGCTATTCAAATAGATCTGCTAGTTGTAGCTCATCTTGCCGGGCAATTTCAACTTGCAAACGGAAACTTCTTGGCACACACTGTAACTTGAGGAGTAAATGCATGCAGTTGAAATTTTTCATATCTGAAAGAGGGTTTTTGTCTAAACGCTTGTTTTAGGTATTTGTAATTAAATATTAGTCATTTCGAGAAAAAAAAACAAAACAAACTCATATTTTGCACTGCCTTCAGTGAATTAAAGCATTTTATTTCATTATTTTTTAAAAATTCCTCTGCTTCGAATTGCTCCCCAGTTGGAAAACTGTGATTCAGACCGACTTGAGAATTTTGCAAATGTATTCAGCACCTATTATACCACTGTACAAAACCCTAAACATTTTCTTGATTCCATGTGTAAATTTGAGCAACCTTAGGAGAATGTGAGAAACATAACTTGAAAAGACATTTTTGTAATTTAAGGCAAAATCTGATCTAGTGACTTCTGAGGCATATGAGACTTGTGATACACTCTCCTTATCTTCCCCTTCCCATGCTAGCTTTGGTTGCAACAAGCTATCTGAGCATCAGGACAGTTTAAATCTTCTAACAGACTTGTATGTTGCTACAAATTCTTAAAGTAGGGAATTTCAGAGCAAGGACTGTTCTTAAAGTCTGTTAAACTTTTGGTACTCAGCTGGTGTTTATGCAAGGAGCACCACCCACGTCTAAATCAGTGGGAAGATATAATGACCTGTCTCTTGATTTATTTTTTGTTTGTTTGTGTTCTTCTTATTATTATTAAAAATGGGAAAAGGAAATGCAATGGTTCTGTTCTTTCCTGAAGAAAGTTTAATTCCCTGGGAGTGAGGAACATCAAATAGTTCCTGAATGTAGGTTGTATTTCTCTGTACCATCTCCTGATATAGCTGTGTACACGTCTGTCCATGTGCACGCACACATGTATGCACTCAGTCAGCTCTGCATATGTGTACATGCACACCCACATAAATGTGTATGTAACATGGATATGATTCTGCAATACGTACCTTACTGCAGGCTCCTGATGGCAACAGCATTGTCTTGCATTTTCTTACCAAGCCAGATAAATATATGTATTTTATGTTGTCAGCTCGTCAGGGAGTTCTAACTTCTGTACAATCATGTAGGTGGCCACACAGTATAAAATGTGTATAAACACATGCTTAATCTTAAGGGTTTATGATCACTGAAACAATTGCAATGGCGTTTACAGATGAAATGCCAACCTGAAAAACTTCTCTTCTGATCTTTAGTAGGATCCAAGTATGTTCAGTTTCTGTTTCTCCATTGGTGCTACTATTGTGTTGCAGTTTCCTGTAGGCGTATGAAACTTAGAGGTTACCAGATATTTCATAATAAATCAGTTATTCGAATATAACAAGTAATTAGGTTGCTGATAGTCAATTCTAACACCTTCTTTTGACGGACTTTTAACCATACATAACACATGATACTCATGCCTGTAGTATCATTATGACATCTGTTAATCATTTATTAAGCCTTTATAAATAGCATCTTAGTCTAAAGTGTGACCATATTGTTGTTAATTTTTGGCTGGGAATTTCAAAAAAGACTATGGGGAGCCAAGTGCTAAACTCCAGCTGGAATCAACCAGGACTTGGGCACCCCATTCCCTTAGTTCTCCCTTCTGGAAAGCCTAGACAGAATTTTCTCAGTCACTCTTCAAGGCATAGACTGAGCCCTGAAGGTTTGCCGACACGACTTTTAGCTTCGCTATCAACTGTCATGGTAATTCCTAAATTTTGATTTTCTTTCTCTCTCTAGTCGGTGCTGTGAGAAGAAAAGCTGTGGCAACAGAAACGAGACTCCGTCTGACCCTGTGATCATTGACAGGTAAGGAAACAAATACCCATTTTCCTACAAAAGCAACCCAAAATTGTTGTCTGTGCTTTGAGGCGGCTGAGGGTCTTTCTTGACGGTTACCTGTCAGTGTCTCCCATTTGGGGATGTCTGTGCTTTCTAGTTTTTTACAAAAATGCCAGACCAAGAGCTGGTTAGCTTTAGTCCATCTGGGCTTACCTTGCCAAATTGTTGATGTTTATTTTTGAAATTATGTTCTCTGTATATCATTTTCATTCTGACCAAATATTCCATGTAGGCATCCAGAACATTTTCTATTCACCATGGATAGGATCCAAATGGATTACTGAGACAGATAAAGCTTTGAGCAACCTGGCAGCTTCAGTAATATTCTTTAACAAAATAACAATATTTTTGTGGAAATGTGGGGAGGAAGGAAGGGGTAAAGGCAGAAGAGCAACATATTAGGCAGGATTAAAACTGACAGTTTGGAGATTGTGAGCAATTTTAATTAGAGCAGCAGCTTCACATATTACTTGGTTCCAGATCCAGGTCTAGGTTCTGCTTGCCAGTTTGTAGGTAAATAACATAAATAGGGGAGAGCAGCAGTCTGTTAAATCACAAACTGGCACATGAAAAATTGTAAGTATTTGTGGAGGCTTAGGAAACTAGCTTGTGGAACTCACTGACTCTAAGTGTTGTTTGAGATCTGAAGTTCAGCAAGATTTGAAAAGGAAATATAAGAATAGGCAGAGCTGTTTGGAAAAGAAGTACACAACCAAGATCTCCAGAAAGAGAAGAGTAAATAAGGAACAGTCAGGAAGAAATCTTCCCCCCCTAGATTTTTAAAGAGCTTCTTTTCCCTGAAGCAGCTGGTAGAAGGGGCCAGTGGAGAGCTGATGAAGTAGGTGGATTGTGGATTCAGTTTTTATGTCTGTATGTGCCTGGCATGTTCTGTCTACATTCTAATAAGCATTATTTGTCATAGTGTTTCTTGTGAATTTGTTTTGGCATTCAGAATGGTCAAGCTGCTTTGAATAAGGTTCTACAATTATTTCCTTCATTTTTGCATCACAGAGTTAATATAAATAATTTTAGAACTTTGATGATGTGACAGGGTTCTTCCACTCCCTTTACTCCATGGTTTTCCCTTTTAATTTTGTACTTGGAAGTAGTGGTTGGGGCCAAATTTGGAAATTCCAGCAAACTGGGCTGTTTGTGTGGGTGCAGGGGGACATTTTCCTGACGAGAAGCAGAAGTCCTAGATATGCCATCTTGACCTTTTCTAAGAAATTTCTAGCTTATTTTTGCCTGTGTTGATGTTTGGTATGAATCTGCATTTGGGAACTTTCCAATTTGAATTTTCTGAAACTTGCCTTACTGCCTGAGAAGCAGCATGACGTGAAGCAGTATATTAGCTTATGCATTAAGACCATGAAGGGGGTAGTGCCTACCTCGAACTGAATTTGTCATCTTGAGGAAGCTGCATATTCTCATGCAAAATGAAGGTTCTGATGCTTTCTGTGGGGATTTGAGATCTGTTGATGTAAAATGCAATGGAAGTGAAGCTATTAGGAAGAACAGAGTTATTCTTTTGAACAACTGTATGTAAAATGTGCATCACAAGTCACCTGTGTGGTCAATGAGTCCTAACCTTTTCTAACTTGCTCCAAGCCTGGAACTTTTATTCCTAACTCCCTTGCTAACAGCATTCTGCCTGTAGGCATTCCTTTTGCACGGAAGCATCCTCTAGGTTCAGTCAGTCTGGCAGTTTCTTGCTGAGTGTCAGTTCTTCCCATTCATTTCTGTGCGTGCGTGTCTCAACTGCAAGTGAAATTTGGAGTTCAGTAGGGGTAATAATAAGGTAGATGAGAGAAATAAGGAGTACACCCTGATAAATCTGCCTCACTTGGTTTTAAAGGCAGTCACCAAATCAGATTTAGGCCACAGAGGAAAAAGATGATTACAAATCTGCACTGCTGTCTAGATTGTTCTGTTTGGTGAACAGAAGCTAAACTCAAAGCTAAATCTTTTTCTTGTTCTACAGAGAATCAGTAGTGCAGCATCTAGCAAATTACTCCCTCTTCTGTACGCTTGTTTCTATTCCACCACCTTACCCAGTTAAACAAGGTTTGAGGAGTGAGGGATAATCCTGTGTACTACATCTTAATCAACACATGTAATGCAAATATAATAACAAAGTTATGCTGTACATGTCTGTGCACAGAGGAATTCATTGTCTAGTCTGTCATCCTCAGACATTTCCACAGCAGTAAGTACAACTACTTAGGAGTTTAACTAAACAGTCTACTCTCCCAAGCTACATTCAATGGGGCTAATCTTTCTGTCTTTCAAACAAGCAGAATACTCTGCTGGAGAGTCATCTGTGTTTTGGACCAGCTTGGGGATCTGGGCAGCAGTGTTTTTAGTTATTTAGGCAGTCTTCGTATGGCTTCATTAGAAGAAAACATCTATGCTTAAGAACTTGGTAGCAGGTGGAATAAAATTTCTGAAATGCAGCTTGCAACTGTTTGCAGTCACGCAGGCCAATAAATATGGTAAGATTCTCAGTTCAGTGTTGCCTTCATGGTGAGTTTTTTCTTAGTTTAAAATGAACTATAGGTTTTCTTTAAAAATAATAATTGGAATGAAGGTTTTTTTCATTGTTTGAAATGATAGGTAAATGTATAAATTTGTCATGTAACAATGCAGCTGTTACATTCTAGCATGTCTTTAGAGAAGTGGGGAAAAAAAAGTGAAATGGAGAGAGAAGGGATTACAAAAATACTTCTGTGTTGTGCAGAGCCGTGTCTAAACAGTGTGTGTGAAGTGAAACAGGACTAGAGCTTTCCATTGAGAATAGAAGTGGAGGCCAGAGAAGAACTTGGTTGTCTGCAGGTTCTAGGCTCTCCCTTTGAGCCTGGGTAATTAATATGCATTGCTCTTGCTGCAGGATTCTGTGAAAAAATGGTGGCTGGCACTCCAGAGGTGTCATCTGCATTGTAATTCCAGCTGGGGGGTGGAATAACATGGTTGGATTGTACAATATAGAAAAGACCAACATGTTCAGAGCTATAGTAGGTGACTACCAGAAGGTGTGAGAGCAGAGATGGAACCCAGTTCTAGGTTGAGCTGTGTGTATAGCTTAGGTCTAGCAATTTCTGTGTTTGATTTGCAACTCCCACAAAGGCAGTGGTCTACTCAAATGTAAAGGATGTGGGAGGGCACCAACATCACTAATTTCTAAGATGTTTTACTGTACAAACATTCTGTGCATGGCAAGCAGGTTCCCTCAACAGCAAACGAGCTGCAAGGTAGAGGGGTTTAGAGTCCAAGGTGGAGCAAGCTCTGTATGGTACTCAGAGGTATACTCCGACCATGAGTGGGCACAAGTTAAATTGACTACTCGGAGGTACCCAAAGGGTGATGAAGAAGCAAGGAGAGGCATTGCTACTGGGTAGTTATACACTGATGGCTGCACTACTGTAACTTTATTGTTTATTGTTTTACTTTTTGCCTGAGCTAAGTGGCTGCATCTGGTCTGTATGCATCTGGTCTGCATCTGGTCTGTGCTGACTGCACACTTCTGACCATGCTATAGATGCAACCTACAAACCTCACAAGACTAATGAAGTATTCAAATCAGTTGAGGTTATAACTTGCCATCCAATGTTGCACTGAACTAAACATGCACCAAGTTTAGCCGAGTTCAAGGTCTACGTTACAGGTTGCTGCAAATGAACGTGACTCCACCAGTAGTATAGTGTTTTTCCCTTTATTTATTTCTCTCCCCTCTTCTTTGCTTTTTATAGACTGATGCTTAGACTATTGTGTTGGTTTACCTGTTTATTGCTGTAGGGAAGCACAATTCATTGGTGTTTGCTAAATCACGGAAGCTTGTATTGCTGTTTAAAAAAGAAGAAATAGTTCAGCAGGGGAAAAATGTCAGCCATATTGTTGTTGGGATTTTTCTTCTCCTTGAATGCATTCCAAAAGTTCTTATGCTGAATAAAACATTTCTGTTGTGACCTTTGCTCTGGGGACTAGATTTAGATCCTGAGGACCTTACAGTTATTTTTTCCATTCACTCTTGGAAACTAGCACTTTCCTATATGAAAAGGAGCTTCCTCACTGAAATTTACTGTGTACCCTCTCCCTCTGACAAAGTTCTGTAGGATACATTCAAGTATTTAGGTTCCTACAACATTCTGAGTCACAATTGCAGTGTAACTCAGTGCAGAATCTGACTTCAGAATGCTGCCTCTGTTTTAATGGCAGTGATAGAGCTCAAATCCTGTAATACTGCTATTTCAGGCATCAAAAAGCAAAACCAGACCTAACTCCACTGGAGCACAGGACTGAAAGGACCACTTGAACATATACGGGAGATTGTTTAGTCCAGAACCATTTTCAAAATATGCACTCCAAGCTTTTTGGACAAAACAAGCCACAGTCACATCTCAGTGTCAGAGCAAGTTTGAACTTTGCGTGCATGGTCAAAATTAATCAGAGCTAAACTGGTTCTAGTGTGTTCCCATGGTGGATCATAGCACTGGTGGTTTCCCAGGGATCTTAATTTCTATTCATCCTGTATTTCTGCTTAGTTTTGAATACCTGTGGAATTGGTAGGTCTATAAGACTTTAGAAATGTAAATGTTTTTGTTTCTTTTTCTCATGGCTGAAGTAGTAGTTCTTAATGTTCATTGTAATTCCTGGAAATCAGTGTGAACTTTGCTTACTAATGTTTCCTCCTGTGTTGAAATCATACATTGGGATATGAAGTGGATGGGTTGGGGTAGCTTTCAGACAGAAGGGCGGAAGTTTGTACTTTTGTAGATGATGCATCCCAAATGAAAGCTGTACTTTGTCATGCCTATATTATAATTACTTAGTTTGCTACCTTTCTCAACCCAATTATGCAAATAAAAAAAATCCTTGGTCTTATGATTAAGAGGCTGTGGATACTGCAAATGAATTAAATTCCTCGCTTTGCTACAGATTTTCTTTCTCATTTTAGGTGAGTTGTATAGTTT